CACAGCCGCTCCGCGGCATGTGGGATCTTCCCGGACCGGGGCACGAACCCGTGTCCCCTGCGTCGGCAGGCGGACTCTCAACCATTGCGCCACTAATGACTTTTTAAAACTATTTATATGGAGGACCAAGCAGCCACGTGCTCTGTGCTTAAAAGAAAGAGGGAGGCCTCCATCAGGCCCACTAACCGGCAGACGGGACCATCATTGGCCGGGACCTGTGGCGGCTGGCACTGCCGTGGGGAAACCTCCGGCCCACGTGATCCACCCGATCAGCCCGTCCAGCAGTCACCGGGTTTCCTAAAATCTAAAGACAAAACAACACGGTCATGAGGCTTGCCAGCCGCGGGAAGGAAAGAATTGTCAGCCAAATCAGTTCAACTTAGAAGCAGAAGCTCTAAAGGCAACTAAACTTAGCTTTTAACTGAAAGGTTAGCTGAATAACCTGGAAGAGGAAAAAGGGCTCACCCCAGGCACCCCGTCTTCTACAGCACACGGGTAGGGGTGAGAGAGCGTCCCTCGGGAGGCACCTTTCTGTTGCTGCTACTGCCGCTGACGCCAAATCTTTTGAACCACAGTGAGAGTGGCTCACAGACGACTCGTCACACCTTCAGCCCCTCTTTCCTAGTCTCAGCACAGCCCCTCCAGAGACCACAAAAGCGGGGGAAACACTGCGTTTCCAGATGTCCCGCCTGGGCAAAGTTGCATGTGAGGTTACCGAAAACTCAAAGACAGAAGTTTCTGTGTGTAATCAGCTTGGAAGCTCATGGCAACGTCTTGGCCCTAATGCAAAGACACCAATCCCATTCCAGGGCTAACCTGAACGGCCCTCCTTTACGGGTAAGTTGGCCTCTGATTCACACTACAGGTTTGCATCGCATCACGTATGAGAATCAAAGCAAAGCCTCCAGCTCACTGGTAATTTGAGTCAGGAAGTTTTCAGGGACACAGGGAAGGAACCAGGGTTGGGAGTGACGGAAATTAGTCTGTTACAGGCGGGGAACAGGGAGCGAGCTGCAGTTTGCTGGTGTCAGTGGGCTGTGGATCGGCGCCCTCTAGTGGACATATCACAAACTGCACCGGCTCAGACCCAGGGCCTGGAGCCCCGGGATGTCTCACCTGTGTTTTCATGGAAAAGTTCAGCATGACAGGAGCAAGTGTTCTGAAAAGAGGACACAATATAGAGATGAATGAAGCCTTGAAGGAATCCCTACTCTTGAAAACCACTCACAAGCCTGGAAGACAAGGCAGGGAGATGGGTCTAGAGCTGATGATGGAAAAGTCATTCTGAAAACTGGTCGCAGGAAAGAAACCGGGGGAAAAAAAGAAAAAGAAAACCTTTGGAAACAGATGCAAAAACGGATCTCTTCAATCATTGTTCCCTATTTTTTTTCAGTTATAGGTGAAGGCCAAAACCAACCACAACCAAAAACCAAAACCACAACGAGAGAAAAACTTTCAGTAATACCAGTAAGTCATAAGTAAGTCCCCACGGTTCGCTTTGCAAAGTACGTGTTGCCAAACTTCTGGAGAATCGTAGTTCAGCTAACCCTTAATTAAAATTTAGATTCAGTTGTCCTTTAATTAAAGCAGCCAAACTCATCACTGATTTGGGGGTAGGCGGTCATCATTCTAAAGCAAAGTAAAGAAATCATCAGCGTGCTCCAGACTGGGAAGCTGCATAGATCAAAGATGCATGGGAAATGCAAGAGAGCCAGCAGAGAGCGTGCCCGGGATGGACACCAAAATAAAAGAAGGTGAAAAAATGAAAACGGATTGGTTTGGCAAGCGGATGTGAGCGGGAGGGTTACTTCACACACCAAAGGACCGTCTGCAACCCGGGGAGGAGGCTGGGCGTGTCGGGCACTGGCCCTACTGTCGGACATTTTTATGCTTTTCTTCCAGACATCCCGGAAGTCCTCCTGGCCCGCGGGCTCGCCCCAGCTGCACTTGCTGGGGGTGGACCGCTCCGGGCTCGGGCGGGCCTCACTGCTGCTGACGACATGGCCGGGCTCCGCTGGCTCCCCGACATCTTCTTCGACGCTGCTCTGCCGGGTCAGCGTCCGGCGCCGGGCCAGCAGGGGCCTCAGGCTCCTCCTACAGGGACAGTGCCCGGGGCCGGGGCTGCACTGGGCAGCGGGGCTTCTGAAACTAAACCGTATCTCCTCCTCTTCGCTCCCACAGTCCAGGCCGCTGTCCGGGCTCCTGGTGGCCGAGCGGCTGAACCGACAGCCTCTGTCTTCGAACACGAGGTCCTCGGCCTGGGGGCCCCTGGGTCTGGCAGGGACCCGGGAGCCAAGCGGGGCCTCGTGCCCCTTGCAGGGCCTGGCGGGCTTGGGCTCTCTGGCCAGCCGGGTCCGGGCCCTGAAGCCCTGCTTGTACAAGAGCTCACAGGGCTCTCCATCCTCCTCGGCTACTTCAGGGATACTGAAAAGCTTCTTACTGTGCTGGGTCTGCTGGGGATTCTCGGGCAGCTCCAAGAAAGCACGTTCAGTGGTCCTATTCTTAGAGCACTCCTTAAGGGGGTGGTGTGTTAGAACAGGTGCCGGGAGTCAGTGTGTGATCAGATATGAAGTGGGGCAGAGGGAAGGAAAGAAAATACAGACAGAATTAGTCTCCGAGGCCATGAGGGACAGAAAGCATGCTTGTAGTCGTGGCGGGAGGGGAGCGGAGGGGAGGGCGGATGGCATGCTCTGGCCGGGGCTCTGGAATGAGAACAGAATGGGTTAGACGGATGGGGCCGGAGCAGGGTGGGGTGGGCAGATCACACGCAGAGCGGCCTGACACCCTCAGGACCAGCCATGCAGCCCCAACAAGGGAAGAGTGGCAGCTGGGCCGCGGGTGCAGGGAGGATGGTGGCAGGAGGCCTCACGCTGACCGAGGCGCTAGGATCTGTGACACGGCTACAGCCAGAGGCAGGGAACGTCTGAGTCCGCTGGCTGCACCTTCAGAAACTCGGAAGGCAGCTGCCGTGGGCCGCCGGCAACTGGAGATGATTCACAAAACGGGGACCCCAACCCGGCCACGCCACTGGACTCCGCACGTCCCTCTAAGCTCTCAGCACCCTCTGAAATCCATCCTCATGCGCAGTAACCTCTCTCCCTGGCTCAGATCTCAGGCTGTGAACGTGGGGACCTTGGAACCGGGCGCCCCAAAGTCACGGCTCTGGGGACGGTCTTGCTCTGTCTGTATCTGCAAAGGCTGCCTGTCTCTCCGCCAGACCCCGGACCTCGAGGCCCCCAGCGAGGAGCCGCGTCCCCGCCAGTATGGTGGCTGGCCCACTCAGAGGGGCCTAATGGACATCGAGGGGCGGACACCCCACGGCCACCGTCCCGGATGTCGGTGTCTCTCCGGATTTGCCCTCAGCCCCCTCCTCTGGTCCCGCTGAACCGGCCCGCTGGGCGCCCCTCCCGGGACACTCCAGCGACTCCACGAAGCCGTAAGCCCACCGTCTGCCCTGCCACGGGCCTCCAGGGGTGCACGTTAAAGACGCCTCCGCGGGGGAGCACCGGATTTGCTTCCCTGCCCCCAGCCCACCGGCCTGTGCGCCCCTCGCGCACGCGGACCTAGCGGGGTCGACTCAGGGCCGCGTCTGCCGCAGGTCTGGAGCCCACGAGGGCCAGGCGAGGAGGGCGTGGCACACGCTTCGCTCATTTGCTCACAAGCGCCCCACGGAGGCCGTCTACTCCGGGGAACACGGAGGTGGAGAGGGAGAGCGAGGAAGCAGCGACCCAGCCCCGGGCGCCAAGCGGGGCGCACGTGAGCCAACAGGGCTGCCACGTGGGAAGGTGAGCCCGCGGGCCGGATCCCCAAGCTAAGTCTTGGAATTTCTGAAAAGAAACCAGGAGTCCAGATCGCTGAACTTGCCCTCTAGGCCTTCTCCCCGGGAGCCATGGTGACCTTTGGTTTCTCTGCTAACGCGGCGCAGGAAGTACCATCCCAGAAGCGTCATGGGGGAGGGGAGGGGACGGGAAGCAGATGCGCTTCGCCGGCCCAGCTCGTGGGGAAGCATGGGGAGCGGGTCAGGCTGGACCGCGGGCAGCTTGGGACCTTCCTCCAATAAGAAAGGTCACGGTGAATCCTGCTGGACGGCGGCCCAGGGCGGGGAGGAGGGGGGCCGGTGGGGGGAGTAGGAGCTGCAGCCGTGCGGGGTTTGCACAGGCATCTGCAGGTTCTCCAGCGACGGCGTCTCCGGGGCCCTGCGGGGGGCCTCTGCGGGGAGCTCGTCAGGCAGCCTGGTCTATGCAAGCGGGCACTGAGCGGGCAGTCAGATCTGGGTGTTGCCTTCCCTCCACCATTGAAAATGCGTGGCTCTGTGTTCCCAGAGGAAGGCCGGGGTCGGGCGGGGTTTTTCTCTCCGAGGCCTTTTTCACGTGAAAACCCCACAGCGGCCCGACCAGCTCTCCAGCCCTTTGTGTGTCTCCCGCGCTGGGCTGGGAGCAGCTGGAGGTCGGAGGTCATGTCCATCCTCATACCCCAGCCTGGCGGAGGGCCTGGCGCACAGGGGCGACCCGCTCGTGCCGAGTGAACAGATGCTCAGCTGGAACGGGCAGCGGCAGCAGCAGGACGGCTCCTGGTGCGTCCTGGGGCCTGGAGCGCGATCTTGGTCAAGGTGACCCCGCGTCAAACCCTTGGCTGACGGCTACGCCAGAGGCGGAAGCAGAGGATGCCGGGGCCCCGGATGGGAGGTGTCTGAGAAGGGGCTGGTGTGTGGACGCCGCTGTCCTCCAGGAGGGAGGACCCTCCTCTGACCTCCTCTGACAGCCCCTCTCCCTGGCCCTCCTGCGGTCCAGCAGCGTCCACCTCGGTTGAGAATCTTTGCGCGACTCGCTCCCAGTCTCCAGTCTGCCTCGGAGGCGGACTCGCGCCCTCCCAGGCCCTGCCCGTCTGCGGATGGCCACGGAAGCCAGGGCGTTGGCAGGGTGGGAATCTTCTTTGTTCTATTCTTTCCGATTCAGTTCTTCATGCAGAGGTGGGTGCCCCTGGGGGTGCCCAGTGGATTCTCCCAGACTCCTTCACCCAGAATTTGGGGAAAGAGGAGGGACAGGAGACCCCGAGCGCAGACTCAACAGTGAGCGAAGCCCGTGCGAACCTGTGGACTCTGCTTGCAGGACCAGGTGCTGCCTCTGGAGCCGGCCTCGTGGCCTGGCAAAGGGACAGGGGTGGGGCGGCTGTGGGGACGGCGGGGAGGGGCCTGGCGCCCCGGCACTGACCTTGAGGGCACTGCGGGCCGCGCCGCCGGGCCGCCTCCGGGCCGCGTCCTCCAGCTGCATCTCCGAGCACAGTTCTTCCTCGTCTTCCTCCATGATGTCCGAGAGGTCGGACCCCCGGCTGCTCTCCGTGTGGTACTCGTCTCCATGGCAACAGTGTGGCTGGGCAGGAGAAGGGGATGCAGATGGAGGGGCAGCTCCAGCACGCGGGAGTACCCGGGGCCCCTCCTGGCTGGCCTCCCCTGCTCTGCCCACTTCTGAGCTCAGAGTCGTGTCTGGGTGTCTGGGTGACGTGCTCACCCCAGAGGTGAGGGAAACACAGTCCCCAAGCCTGCGGCAAGCTGGGATGGCAGACAGAGGACCAGCCCAGGCCTCCCAACTCTAAATCCAGACGGGCCCAGGCAGAGACCCCTTGGGCTCTTGGCAGGACAGAATGCCAGGGGGCTCACAAGACACACAGGAAAACATCGCTTTTCTGGGTACCATAAGCCTCTCCAACTTAGTGGCTGGACAAAGGCTCAAGCGACAGGTCGTAAACTCAGGTGGCAGCATGACTCGAGGCCCCCCGTGAGCGTGTAGGTTGCATCTAGGGGCAGGGAGCAGAGAGTGCTGGGTGGCAGGGGTGCAAATGCACCATTAAGGGCGCCTAAGAGTTTTAAGAAAACCATGCAGTCTGAAATTCACACACGTGCACACACTGGGTTGTCAAAGAACAGCCCGGTCCGGGCGGGGTGGGACCCCCCACTGTGTGGTGTGCCCACTCTGTGCCCAGTTTGGTCACTGACACCAGAGAAGGCCCGCTGCTGGGGGTGCTTGGGGAGGAGTCTGGGGACGGCGGAAAAGGGTCAACAGAAAAGCAAGGAAAAGTAGCTTGCTAACATGTAAACTGAACCACCAGCAGCCCTGATGGGGTCTGGGGATTTGGGGGCTGGTCCAATTCAGCGGTCCCGTCCCCACCCTCAAAGCAAGCGCCCATTATTCAGCGTCTCGAGTATTTGCAGCAACTCAAACTGCACACCCTACGAGCTCAGACTTATGAGCCCCAAACATGCATAAAGCTGTTTTGTTTCTGCTGGATGGTGTCCATTAAGAGCAATTTCTTTATTCTCCTGGCGGGCGACCAGACAAGTGCCTTTAATAGCATCTCGAGACATGCTTATTAAAAATACCCCAGTTTCAATCACTCCTCTAGATAAAGACATGTCAGCACCTGAGTGGCACTAAGTTCCTGGCCCGCTGATGGGAAGGCAGCGTGAGTGCCCAGGCTGGGGGTCCCGACCCAGCTGAGCCCTCAGAGAAGTGGCCCAGATGCTCTCAGCCTGAGAAGTCTGTGTGTCAGCATTTGAGCTGCTCCAGCCCTAATTCTTTCTATCAGGCACTGCAGAGAAGACGTAAAGGTGAACTGATTTTAAATGAATAAACAAAGATCAGGTTGGTTTGAAAGAGGTCTCCCCAAGGGATATGGGAAGGAACTCTCCTCGAGAACACAATCTCACTGGATTCAAACCCAATGATGAGTTAGTAATAAACCCGTGGGATGGAAGGAGGTGTCTGCTGTTTGCCAAATACATCATGGATAAGCCATTCATAGGACTCCTATTCCTCTCTTCTGCCCAGTGAGATGTCACGGGGAGTCTTGATGGAGCTTCTGGAAAAGATTTTTCTACCAGTTAAAAGAGATGTGCCTGAGAAGAAAGCCCCCCTCCTTTTTCCCTTCCCTCCCTCCCTCCCTTCCTCCCTTCATTCCTTCCTTCCTTCCTTCCTTCTTGGGGTGCTGTCATATGAAAGTGTGACGACTGGAGCAATGGCAGCCACTTTGTAACCATGAGAGAAAGGCTAAAAGAATGGAAGATTCAGAACCTAGAGCCAGGACACCACTGAGCAGCTGAATCAACCTTGCAGCCTCCTACCTGAGACTTCCTGCGATGTGGGAGAATGAAATGTCTTTGTTATCTTAGTCATTATTAGTTGAGCATTCTATTTCTTGTGTTTAAATGAATGCAGATAGAATTACTTTAATCTTTTAGATAAAGAACCTGATGGTTGGAGAAGCTGAGTCACTTGCCTCCTACTAGCAGTGACAGAGCCAGGAAATGAGTCCAAGTCTGTGAGATTCCAAGGCCTCTTCCTGGCTAGGTTGTGACACTGCCTTGCTGCAGAGCTGTGTGTTGAGGGGGCTGGAGGATCTGACATCTGAGGGGTCTTCAAGCTCTGACATCTCAAGGTCTCAGGACTCTCCAGGCCCCACTCTTCCTGTTGCCCAGACTTAGGTCTTGACACCATTAAAGAACATTCCCATTAGAATATGCATAATCAGAAATTGGAGACCAAACCCACATTGGATGGATTTGTCACTTGTGAGCCCGGTCTGGGACAAGAAGCCCTGACATTTTTGTCCCTCCAAGGGTGGGATGCTGACCGTTTAATTTCTGAATCTCCCATGATGCTTAGCACTTAGCAGACACTCATCACACATCTGCCTGATGAACGAAAGTAAAGAAACGAACGGTAGGTTTTGCCTAAACTGAGACCAGGCGGTTACCTGGAGACTCACCTGAAACACAAAATCAGCCCATGAACGGATACTCATACAGGGCAGTCAGGGAGGGCAAAAACCTCACATTCTGACTTTTGAAACTGTCCCCCAGTGAGGTCACAAACACGCAGGCACCGTGCAATCTAACCTTTCCCATGGACTGTGACTGTTGTCACCCAGGCCTCGGGGCCATGCGCCCAGGAGCTGCACTCACCGGCTTGCCTAGCTCCGAGCCTTTCAGAAACTCGTCCACCGACGCGCCCCTCCTCTTGGCGTCGGGGGACTCGTAGCTGTCTTCCTCGTCCGAGTTTGCGTACTGCCCACTGCTCCTGTCCAGGAAGACGCTCCTTTTCTCTAGCTTGGAAGAGAAGAGGGGAGGTGTCAGGGCAGAGGCCGCCTGGCCCTGGGGATGGGCACAGGGGCAGGCGGCTTCCAGGCCCGACAGGGCTCCATCCTTTCCTCTGCCTCCTCGGAGCCACTGTGTGAAGGGACTTGGGGTGAGTGACCCGCACAGGCTGGCGGGCGTTTTCTGATGCTGCCCTGGGTGCCCGCCGCCCCTCCCATGCCCACCAGAACTAGCTCCTGCCTTTGCAGGAGGTAACGCGTGGGTGCTGAGGAAAGGCTCCTGTCCCTCTGTTTGCCACCCTCGCCCGGCTGTTAACGTGACCAGTTAACCTTTTCTTGAATATGGAAGCTCAGAGGTTTGCTTTCTCTCCACACCTTCTAAAAGGGGAAGGCAGGCCGGGGGGAGGTGGGGAGGTGGCGGCTGTCCCAGGCATTCCTGGGCCCAGCCTCTGGCTCCAGCCTGCTCTCGGGGGTCCTGTCTGGGAGCTCAGGGTGGTGGGATGCGTGGCTGCTACCTGAGAGGGCGGGGGGGGGGGCGGTGTGCAGAGCTCCCCCCCCCCAGCCCCTTCCTACACCAAAGCACCTGGGCTTCTGCTTTGCGGGAAATCAGGGCGGAGTGCCAGGGTGCCCGTGATAAAGGTGCACATTCTGCGGCATTTCCTTTAGTCAAGGGGACAAACTGCTGTGTAACTATTAACAAATCGGGAGATTCCACAGAAAGCCTGGATTTCCAGTTTCTCAACAGGCACTGAAGTGCTGTCACGGTACCTCTTACCCCTCCCGGTTGCCTGGCCGTGGCCCGCCCACCTCAGCTCTGACCTCTAGGGGTCTGGCCTCTCCTCAAGTTCCTGACCCGGCCTCCAGCCCGGAGGGGGCCTGGCCCGGGCCCGGGGATGCCCAGGAGGTGAGGGTCTCCCGGCACCGACATGGATGTCTCCACCTGCATCTCAGAGAAGGCACTGCCAGGGGCTGCCGTCCAGGAGAGACCCCCATGGGCTGGCTGGGCAGAGCTGAGAAGACCACTGACCACCACTGTCCCCTCTGCCAGGGCCCTGACCTCGGGCTTGCAGCAGACAAGCTGGGCACCCTGGTAGACAAGCGCACCCAAGGGAGAAAGATGGGGGTTTGGCCCAGGCAGGGAGGGGCCCGCGGCCTAGCCCAGGTCCACACCCTCCTCTCCGGCATCACTTCACGGCTGCTTCTTACAATGTCTCGGCTCATTGCACATTTCCTCTGGGCAGTGGCCACACGGTCATGCGAGTACTCATCCCCACGGTCCAGGCGATTTCTAGCAATAGGCATGCAAATATACTTATGTGCGTGCATTTCTACGTGTAGGTATCTATGTATACATACGTGTATATAAATGTGTGCGTGCATGTATGTACACACACGTACGTACATGTCTATCCATGTGTATACACACACACACAGGCACATAGCCACATGCGCAAACACACACACACACAGCTAGAAGTCTGAAGTGAGCCAGCCAAGAGGTGACCCTCGTTTAGGAAGATGTGCCCCAAGCCCACTCCCAGGCGGCACCTCTCAGATCCCCCGACACAGGCCAGAGCCTGGTTAGCGGGCTGTTAGCTCGTCTGCTAAGCCAGGCTGGTGGATAACCCTTTCCTCTGGTTATCTGGGTCTGTATCTACGCAATGGAAACACACGTTGATTCCGACAGGCTCAGGCCTGGAATGCCCTGGAATGCAGCCCTAGGGGAAAACTGGCGGATGAATACGGCATCCTTCTCCCCACGTCAACGCCGCCACTCTGGGTGCTGAGAGTTCGGGGCGCGTCTCCCCGCCGACTCGGGGTGCCGTGGAAGGTCCCATCCCCGCTGGGCTGCAGGGACGGACCGCACGGCACGGGCAGCTGTACCGGCGAGGAAACGCCCAGCCTTACCCTGCTGCTCTCGGCCACCCTCTGCGCGGCTTCCCGGGCCATGGCCTTGGCGACGGAGGTGGAGACCGGGGCGCCCTGCGGCTGCGGAAGGATGCGGCTGGGCGAGGGCGACCGCCGCCCCGGGCCCGAGCCCTGCAGGCCGGGCGGCTCCAGCAGGTGCCCGTGGGCCGGAGCAGGCGCCCGGCCGAGCTCCCAGGCCTCATGCGCCGCGGCGTGCGGACCCAGGTGTTCATCTTTGGTATCGGGGGCTCCAGCATTTGCTAATGGCTTCGGTGTGGGAGCAGTTCTCAGGTGGGGGGCAGGAGGCACCAGGAGGTCGGGGGGGATGGCAGCGGTGGCAGAGTCTACGGACTCGCCCTGGGCGGAGAGGGTCCGCACGGTCACACCCTTGGCTTCGAGGCTCCGCAGCCGCACCAGCTCCACGGCTGTGCTGTCCGCGGTGGGAGAGATGATCTCAGCCACCTGCGCGCAGAGAGAGCGGGGTCATGGGTCAGGGGTCAGGGGTCGCCCGGGCGCCTCTCCAGCAGCCAGGGCCCTGGGCCCCGCCTACATCCCCCTCAAACCACACCCCCCGGCCCGGAAACCTCGCTAGGCGGCAGCCCCGCCTCCCGCCCGCCGCTGGAGGCCTGCGGGCGCCGCTGAGCACACCCTCTTCTTCCGCGTCCACAGCCAATCCGGGAGCAGCCGCGGGGGCGTAGAGCAATCAGAATGCCGGGCGTGTTACTGCCAAAGCGTGGCCCCGGGGAAGTGCCGGCAGAGGCCAAAACGGGCTTCCGGCCGTGGGGGACACGTGACTGCGGCCCCTCCGGGCCCTGCCTGCGGGGCTTCTGCGGGGAGCTGGGAGGAGAGAGGGCCGTGCAGCGGCCGCTCTCACGGGGCGAGCTGGGACACCGCCCCGCGTCTGATGCAGCAGCCCTGGCCCTGGGGCTGCGGGGAACACGGTGGGCAGTGGAGAGCAGGCAGAAGCTGGCTCCAGCCCCGCCTCCCAAGGGCAGCCGTGTCTGTCTCCTGTGCCCGGACCGGCTGGGGCTTGAGATTGCGGGCTCCCCTACAGCGGGCATTAACACTTCCCTGCAGCGTTTCCGGGGCATTTGGACTACCGTCTCGCCAAGAATCGTTTTGGTGGAATCTACTGAGTGGGCCCTGATATCGTGGGGCTCGAAAGATGTGAATTTTTGGTACCCAGGGGAGAACAAGAAAGGTCCGGGGCAGGACAGGTAGTCACTGCGGGAGGAGAGCAGAGAGCACTCTGGGCAGGAGGACGGCGCAAAAAGGATGGAATTCTCCGTGTCCTGCAGCCGAGCCCGGGATGGCGGCGCAGGGGGTGCTTAAGTAGCTGCTGGTGGGTCTTGGGGGCTGAGGAGAGAGGGAGAGTCGCGCGTCACTGAGCGGAGAGTGCTGGGGTCTCTGGGGCGAGCACTGCCCCCGCAAGGACTCACCCTCTGTCCTTTGGCATACACGCCGTAGCCGGTGACGTTGGCTCCATTGGACAGCCCCGTGGCCGTCAGCGCGGGCGGCTTCCAGGAGACCTGGACAGTGGCTGGGGTGGCTGCGGCCTGGACGGCAATGTCCTGGGGAGGGGCGGGAGGACCTGGGGGACAGAGCAGAGGGGCTTTCAGGACGCGGCCCTCTGGCAGAAGAGCTGCTACCACGCCCGGCTGGGGGCGCCCGGAAACGAGATCTTCTGTCAAAGCCTCCAGGGGTCGCGGGCAGAACATGAAGCGTGAAAGCAGGGCAGGAGGGTGAGGAGGTGGCAGCTACCGGACACGCGCGGTGCCCTCCTGGAACCCCGCTCACGGGTGCCCCGTCCCCAGGGGAGCCCGTGACCCGGGCCAGGCCAGCCGGCCACGAGGACCCAGCATTTGGCAGAGGAAAGAAATCCCTGCCGCCTCTCCATCCTCTTCCGCGCCCCTCCTCCCTCCGCCTTCCCTCTGTCCCTCCGTCTCTCTCTTCATCAGACTTGGGGGCAGTGAGCTGGACCGCACATCCCCCATCTCACCGCCTTGCGGGACAGGACAGAACCGGAAGCTGGAGAGAGACGGTTCTGATGAAGCCACCCGGCCCTGGACACCGGCTCTGCACACACACTGCCCGGCTGACCAGCTGGGCCGCTTCCTTTGCCCCCGAACCGTTTGAATCGCGCTCACCATGGAAGTCTTGAGTAGCTACTTCAACCAACAAGGAGGCCAGGGTCATGTCGCTGGTCCTTCCAGGTGGCCCTTGGGGACAGCAGGACCACCTGTCTGCCCTGTAACCCACAGGCAGCTCCTTTCCCCCCGGGTCTGTCTGGTGCAAAACCCCCATAACTAGCGTTCTATTTGGAAAGGAACGTGTAGCTTTCCGGAGGAAGGTATGAGCTTCATCCTCCAAGACGCGGCTCCGGCCCGTGGATTTCTGCGGGGGGCGGGGGGGGGGGCAGTGGCTGTTTGCTGAGGATTTTCTCTGTGCAGCTCATTCTGCTACTCACTTTGGACTCTTTACATCACTTGATCCGCACAACAGTCCTGTGAATTCAGCGCATCCTTGTTTTGCAAATGAGGAAGGTAAGGTTCCAGGGAAGCTGCTGGGCTATTGTGTGTTGGAAGCGCCGGCAGCGTGCAGCTCAGTGCAGCTCATGAGAAGGGCTGATGCAAGCCACCCTCAACACACTGCAATATGGGGCTTCTGAACTTCCCTACAACCGGCTTCAGAAGTTAAATTCTACCGGGATGGTCCATTCAAACATGACAGATGGGTTATTCTTCTTAAGGGCGAAGGTCAAGAACTGAAACTGGCTTGGGAGTTTGCTGGGTGCCCACTTCTACCACAAGACCAATGACAGTGGAGGGCCGGGGTTTTGTGGGTGGGGAAGACTTGTGTAGCTGTGACCTGCCAGCTCCAGCCCATCCCTCCAGTGGCTGAGAGGTGAGGGGGTCGCACTGACGTCCATCACGTGGGGACACCTGGTCCAGCCACGTGCCCGATGACGCGCTCACGCTGAACGAGGTTCAGGGGCTGCCCTCCCCACGCCTCTCACTTGTGACATTTCCACAGTCCAAATCCTCCTCTGCCTGGACAGGCAAAGGCACTAGTCTGCTGTGGACTGCATGTTTGCGTCCCCCCAAATTCGTATCTTGCAATCCTAACCCCCAAGGGGATGGTGCTTGGAGGAGGGGCCCGTGGGAGGTGGTCAGGTCATGAGGGGGGAGCCCCCATGAGCGGGATTCGTGCCCTTATCAACAAGGCCCCAGAGAGCTCCCTCACCCCGTCCTCCAGGTGAGGACACAGTGTCTTCACCGTCTAGGAGGCAGGAAGTGGGCCTCGCCAGACACTGGGTCTGCCCACGCCTTATCTCGGACTTCCAGCCTCCAGGACTGTGAGAAATAAGCGCATGTTGTTCATAGGCCACTCAGTTTACGGCATTTCGTTACATCAGCCCGAGCTGACTAAGACAGCCAGGAATTGGGCGTGAACCTATGGGAACAGGCCCTCCCTGGGCTCAGCATCTTCTCCTGGTCCCTCTCCATCTCGACCTGAGCTTCTCCACAAAGACTCTCCCGGCTGTCCCAACGTATGTGCTCTTGCCTCTCCTCGGAGGCCCTGGGGTCTCTGGGTTTGGTGTCTCTGGTTTCTTCACCCCCCAGCACTGACCACAAGACTTCACACCAGGAACCAATGAAAAGCTCAAGTCCTCACTCGCCCAATATCCACGATCTGACATCCCGATAGGCAGGCAGGAAACCCAGCATCACCTTACAAGATGAATGAACTGACCCTTCATAAATGAGTTCCTACTCAGACCTGCTTCCTCCTCGAAGTAGTGTCTGTCCCGCCTGCCCCTGACCTTGCTGCTTTGTAGGTCAGACTCTAGTTGATGATGGAGTTCAAAAAGACGGGAGAGCACCATGGAATTAAAAGCAAATCCAGTTAGACGGAGATGGAAGGCTTTCGGCAGTTAGTAGAAATGATCCTGGAGAACCACTGGATTATTTGTCAACCTGCTGACAAATGAGGTTGGGCAGAGCTGGATTAATTAATCACAGAAGACAAATCCGAGGAGAGTGACAGGCATTCTGAGGGAATTCTGTGAACATCACAGGACTAAAATAAGCCCTCGAGGTATCAGAATATGCCCTCACACATCTTTGCAGACACAACCTTTGCTCCAGGAAGGCTGCTCTTCCCTAGGTGTTCGGGCTCCCATCCTGCGCACAGCTGCCTTCCTCGGAAGGGCTGCCCTGTACGCGAGCCCCAGGCAAGATCAGCATGACGGAACCTTGTGGAGACGGCGGTGACGGCTGCCCCGTGGATAAATCAGAGGATGTCCATCTCAACCCATGTCTTTACAGTTTCCTGGGAGAGAGTGGGGGGGGGGATGGGAGAGGGGTGCATTCCTCCTCCTGTTACAGCTGGGAGTGCAGGGAAGGAAGCCAAGATAGCGTCCACAATGGAACTTCACGTCTTCGCAGATTCACCCGTATGTGTGAGGTATATACGCGTACGTGTATGTATAGCAAAAGCAGACATGAGAAGAGAGAACAATTCTGCGAGCGCTGTGGGCACCCCCTCCATGTTCCTCTCTGTGAGCGCACGGCCAGGAGTGGGTGACACGGGGGAGACGGAACCCTCCAATGGCCCAGGGTGCTCTCATTTCCTCCGGTTTTCTGTAGGACGAGCCTCTTACAGACGCAAGCGTTAAATATTTCCGACAACACGGCCCCTGAACAGAATCCAAGCTTTCTCTTTCCCTCTCACACACACACAGGCGTGCGTGGGTGTATTCCGTGGTCCCCGGCTGATGGAAGGATGCTCTGGGACGGCGCCGGCTGTCGGCAGCGGCTCCCCTTCCGCTCCCCCCGCCCCTCCCCTTGCACAGGGCGACATCCCGGCATCCCCTCCCTTGGGGACTACCTCCTCCCCGACCCCCCACCCCGGGAGGACAGCTCACCTGCCGGCAGCGTGGAGAACTCCACGAAGGCCTCCTTCCTCTCCCTCTGCTCCAGGGGCAGTTGCCAGGGCACCTGGTGGGGCTTGGCCAGGACCTTCACTTTGTAAGCCGCGTTGGGCCTGAGGTTGCAGAACTGGTACTTGTAGCTGGTGGCCCGGACGACATCCAGCTCCTGCTCGTTGAGGAAGATGACATGGCTGTAGTTGCTGTTGGTGGGCATCCAGGAGAGCTGGGCGGAGACCTGCGTGATGTTGTCCACACGCAGGTGGGACGGTGCCACCACCACGTCCTTGCCCACCAGCAGCGTGCAGCGCAGCCCGTCCGAGCTGCCCCGGCTGGTGGCACACTGCACGGAGATGCGGTAGGTGCAGGCTGCCGTGTCCAGCTTCTCCACCAGGGCCTTGGTCCTGCCACCCAGCGCCAGGCTCAGGCGCGTCTCTGCGTCCACCAGCACATTGTAGGTGCCCACAGTCCCCCAGCCCGGGGGCACCACCGGGGGCTCCCAGCCCACAATGACACTTTTGGCAAGTTGTTTGATGAGGGTGATTTTCCGAGGGTAAGGCACGATGTCTTCTCCGATGTCATCGATGTTCATGTCCAGCATCCCCGCCCCGTGGTCGGAAGGGCCAGAGTCCATGTGCGTCGGGGAGTGGAGGTCCAGGATGTGCTCCCCGTCCGAGCCGACGCCGGCATGGTTGATGAAGTTCTGATCCTGGTCTTTCCCCAGAGTGCTTGCCAGTCGAGACTCGTCCTGGACAAAATCCACGAAGTTGGAGGGCACCAGGCCCCTCTGCCCGTCCAGGAGCTCGCCTGTGGGGTACGAGGACAGGGTTACCGCCCAACTGTCCCATGGAGGCCCGAGGGCCTGCAGTGGGGTCTGCGCCTCCCCGCAAGGGGACTGCTGTACGGAAAGCAGCAGGGTCACAGTGGATTCCTCAGCCCTTTACAGGAATCACTCCAGCATCACCTCTTCGGGACCCCCGCCCCTGCGTCAGCACCCCGCAACCTGCCATCTGCCACCCCACCAGTGAGGCTGGCTTCCCCCCTAGCGCCCAGCACACCACGGCCAGCCACCCGCGTATCTGTGTCAACGCCCCCCTTCCAACGGGGACGAAGCTCTGGGAGGACAGGGAACTCTGTTCCCTGCTAGACCTACAGGCACACCTGGCACAGAGTAGGTGCTCAGTAAGAGTGTGTCAGAAGGACAAACGACATGCAAACTGCGTGGGTTTGGAGGCTAAAAACATTACACACCTTACTCTGATTCTTGATTAGGTGATCACACAAACAGGAATTAAAAGGTGAATTTCCTCCCCCCGCCCCTTGCAGAGCAATGTGTCTGTCTTGGCGAAATTCCCGACATGTGTCCGTTTGGTGAGAAACGATCAGTTTGGTCCCAGAACCACCTGGAGGCTGAGTGGCCCAAAGAACGCCACCAAACTAGCTCTCGTGGCTGCGGGCAGTCACGGCGGGGACCGCTTTTTATTTCATGAAATGGTCTAATTTCTTCGCGTTCTCTTTACTCGTGGGGCTTGGAAGCTGCTGAGAGCAGAGCCGTGGAAACTGAGAAGCGCTCGGAGGAGCTTCAGAGACGACACCGTTTGCGTGATCTCGCGACACCAGCGGGAAAGGGCTGTTTCCCCTGGCGCGTCGCAGAAAGGGCTTGACTGGGGGTCCGGGGACCCGGGAGGCTGGGCAGCGTGGAACGAAGGGTGGGGTCTGCTCCCAGTAGACACACGCACATGTCAAGGGACGTGCGACGGGCCCGGGCGACAGGGATGCTGACCACTGAGTCAGTCCCGAGTCTCCCAGGATCAGTGAGGATCTGTTTCTGCTCCTGTCCCCAGGGGCCGGGTCTTGAGACGTCAGTCTTTGCCTCGAGGATGCTCGGAAAACAACGTCATTTGACACAGGGAACGCCGAGAAGGAGGAGGGTGGGAGTGACAGCAAGTCCTGTGTACCAGGCCGCGTCCTCAGACCCCACGTCTGCTTCCTCATTTATCGCCACAGCCGCCCCTTAAGGTGGCCACCGCGGCCGTCTGCATAGCGAGGGGAGGTGAGCTTGCCACTGTCATGTGGACAACGGAACGCTGAGCTCTGCCGCCTGCCTTCCATCCGGCCTCTGGAAAGTCTATGTGAGCACAGTGCCTGGCGCAAATACTCTAGAGAACTCCAACAAGGGTTACCTGGCAGCCGCCTTGGGCACACAGTTCTCCCCTGGTGCGCACGTGGGTGACGGCAATGTGGATTTGTGTTAAGAGTTCAAGCAGCTTTGCCACCAGTTGTGGTGAAATTTCTCGGGAGGCCTACCCACAGCTGTGCCACTGTTTTTCCAGTAACTAATGGAAACCAAGAATTTCAATGACCCCAGGCTCTGGCACCTTCAGAAAAACAGCCCAGGCTGGGCTGCCGCTCACCGACCTCAGCGGAGGCCACCTGATCTCGGAGCCCATCAACCCCAGGACAAGAGTCAAGAGTGTGGCCATCAGCTCCAGGGAAACTCCAGGAGGTCACGCTAGTTTAGCAAGAAACAATTTTTTTCTGCTCAGAGGGACAGGAGGAAACCGAGACCCTTCTGTTAGGGCAATGGGAGAGTTTAGGGAACCGAGGAATCTGGATTTATGAAGCTCCTGGGGATGTCCCATATTCATCCTCTAGCTACAAAAGTGACCAAGGTTATGAGTTTTGGGCAGAGGAATTCCCATTTCCTGATCTCACACTGCGCAAGGTGCAGGAAGTGGTCAGGCAGGACACGGGGCTGGACCACCCTAGGTTAACAACAGAGGCTGAAGGTCAATGGGATCGCTGTGAACCAGACAAGGTCCCCTGAAAGGGTCCCCGGCCCTGCCTCGGAGAAGGTGCTGGGCTGCAAGAGAGGCGGGGAGGAGAGACCCTCATCTGTCAGCCCCACGTATCTGCGGGAGCTCCTGGGAAGCTCTGTGAACGTGAACATGAGAAGGTATCCACCCCGTGTCAGAGGGCTGCTTGGGGCTAAAAATAGGAAACCCCACTCAATCAGACAAAAGGGGAACAAACACCTCGTAACTCCCGAGGGCGGGAGGGTCAGAGCAGAGGCTGGGGCGGCCGGGAGTGATGGGCGGCCCGGCCCTGGCCTGGCCTGTGTGCGCCACCTGCCCACCACGCTCTCACTGACCTTCATAGAAGCCATCCTCGTCCATGTCTCCATAGACGTAGAGGTACTTCCCCGCCGTGAGGGGCAGCTCAGCCTCTGGGTTCTCATTTGGCCCGTCAAAGGGGTTGTAACTAGAGAGAGAGAGAAAACCCATTCAGTGATGCTCTGGATGGAGACCGACCCCAGCCCGTCCCTTGCAGAGCTCAGGGCCTCCTCCCTGCTGTCGCCAGGATATTTTAGACCCACGCGATGGTTCGGTGCTCGTGGATGGTCAATGCACTGAAAACTCAGGCCATCGGTAGCTCAACTCACACAGATTCCATGCTGAATGGTAGTTCTGGAAGCAAGCTCTACACTGAGTCCTTTGTATCAGATGACATTTAAATGACTCCAAATTATATTTTTAAATAAACTTCCAAATCAGCAAGCAAATAAAAAAGTAATTAATCCTATCATTGTTCAATATATATTATTGATCACAGGTAGCATCATATGACGTATACTCTTCAGTCACCTGCTTACTTTTTACACTTTGCAATATGACATGATTATGTTTCCCCTCATGAAATATTCTATCATATCCTTTTTGATGGCTGTATAATACTCCACTGAAGAGATTAACATACTTTATTTAACCAATTCCTTATGTTGGGCATTGATATTTCTTCAAACTTTTGGCTGATATAATCAGTGCTGCCTCCAATATCTTTATCAACACATGTTGCACACCTGCCCACTTTCTTCCTAAAGATAAGTCCCTAGGTGGTATATTTGTTTGGTCAAAGACCTGCACGTTTTAGAGGGCTTAGGTATGTACAGCCAGAATGTTCTAAAAATGGATGTACGTTTTATCTTCCCCTCCCCACTAGGACTGTAAAATGCCCGCTTCTCAAATCCTCCAAATATTGGAATTAACATTTTTTTTTAAGTCATGTCCAACTTGCAGATAAAACATGTGAGATGAATTTCTGATTTTCTAATTAAAGTGTCAATTAATTTAAAATAACAGGAAAGGACTCAACAAGAAAATCCAAGTGACATCAGTGATCGTGGGAGATGATCACGTAAACAAAAAGAACAAAGGGTGTCACTCAGTGTCCTGTCACACAAAGGGTGAAGCCGCTGCAGCTCCCCTGGGGGCCAGCAGCCCCGTGAGGTACCAGCACTTTCCTCTGTGTGTTTTATCTGATCCCCACCGACGCTCAGTGAGGAGAGCAGAGATGATATTCTCTATTCTCATTCCCAATTCTCACGGCCAGCTGAAGTGCAGTGACTTGTCCAAAGCCACACGCTCATTAAGAGGTGTGGGTGGGAGCAGAACGAAGGTCTCCTGTCCCTCACCCTGCGTGGGTTTAACCACACCGCGTCGCCCTGTCCCTCGGGGTCCAGAGGTCCAGGGACGCCGTCCAGCGCCCTGAGGGTTTTACTGAGTCAGTGACTGCTGAGGCATCTGCATCGGGATGTAAAGCCAAGCAGACGGATGTACGATGTGAAAGCCCAGCGGCTGGAGTGAAGCCAAACGTGGTTTCTGGCAGAGGGAATGGCACGTGCAAAGGCCAGGAGGATGGGAGCGGGGTCCCCTCAGCTGCTGGAGAAGGACGGGTGAGGGTGGGAGCGCTGGGGGCCGTGGGTCGGAGGGGCCACATCAGCGTGGATTTAACCCAGAGCTAACAGCTATCGGGAAGGAGGCGTCACCTACGGAGTGACGTGATCGCATTTGCGTTTTGCAGAGGGGTCCCTCTGATGCCGTGTGGATGGGGTCTAGCTGGGCAGGGAGTGTCCTTAGAGGAGATGGAAGCGGGGGCTGCCTGGGTATGAGGGCAGGGGTGCAGGGTCCCGGCGGACTCGAAGCTTTCTGGCCTCATGAGGTGCAGATGTGTGTGCAATTACTGGGCAGGGGCTGGCGGGAGCGGGGCTGGATGCGGGGAGACGGGAGGCCCAGGGTCCAGTTCCAGGCGCCTTACGCTGCCTAGGCTCAGAGAGGCTGTGGCTGCAGGTGGAGCCTGGAGTGGTCCACGTGCAGAAGAGGTTGCCCAAGCCGGGAGGATGGAGCAGGAAGACAGGGGACGGGGCCCAGGCTTCAGGAGGCCGCACATCACTCTCAGGAAGAGAAGTCTCAGCTGGTGGGAAAGAGGGTGGAAGAGGCCAGCATGGGGAGGGGACCGTGGGCACCAAGGGGAACTGTGCACCGACGACGGGGTCCACATCCATTGGGGGTTGATGGATAAAATGCAGTCTCCCCGGGCTTCCCTGGTGGCGCAGTGGTTGAGAGTCCGCCTGCCGATGCAGGGGACGCGGGTTCGTGCCCCGGTCCGGGAGGATCCCACGTGCCGCGCAGCGGCTGGGCCCGTGAGCCATGGCCGCTGAGCCTGCGCATCTGGAGCCTGTGCTCCGCAACGGGAGAGGCCACAACAGTGAGAGGCCCGCATACCGCAAAACAAACAAACAAACAAACAAAAAATGCCATCTCCCCGAAGTCCGCTGTGATCCGGGTATAGAAGGGGACAGAGCTGCAGCGGGTGAGCCTTGATGACACAATGCTAAGATGGGAAGGAAATGTCCAGAACGGGGAACCCACAGCGACTGAAAGGTTAGTGGTTATTTGCGGTGGGGATGGAGGGGATGGGCTGACACCTGAAAGGGACGGGGGTCTTGGTGAGCGGACAGGAATGTTCTCAACTTGACAGTGGCAAGGATGGCACGTACTGTGCGTTGCATCTAGAGACCGTCATACAGGGTGAAGTAAGCCAGAAAGAGGAAAACAAATACGGTGTCATATCGCTTATAGGCGGAATCTAGAAAAACGGTCCAAATGAACTTATCGGCAAAGCAGAAAGAGAGTCACAGACGTAGAGAACAAACTGACGTTGACCAAGGGGGGTCGGGGGGTGGGACGAACTGGGAGATTGGGATGGACACAGACACACTACGTAAAACAGAGAACTATCAAGGAGCTACTGCAGAGCACGGGGAACTCTGCTCAGTACTCTGTAATGGTCTAATGGGAAAAGATTCTGAAAAAGAGTGGGTACATGTATATGTACAACAGATGCACTTCGCTGGGCAGCAGAAACTAACACAGCATCGCAAATCAACTGTACTCCAATTTAGAAAAATGGGGGGACTGTAAGGTATGTGACCGACCCCTCAATAAAGCTGTTTAAAAGGAAGGGTGCGGGAGGCCTGCATCGGGTGCCTGCAGAACTTCTGGAAAGGGGCCCCCTGGAGCCTCAGCGGGGCTCGTCCTGCTGTTGGGGGAGGGGACTCCGGGCTGAAGAGGGGGCAAGAGATGGGGAAGCAAGGCCGCTCCACAGGCGGCTGCACGAGCAGAGGTGGGAGGAGGGGACGGGGCCACGGGGAGCAGGGCTTCTCCTGTTTCGAGTTTGGGGAAACTTCGAAGCAGGGTGCTGAGTAAGGACAGTGTTTAGCTCCGGGGGGGAACACCCCCAAACTCCCCTTACCTTCGAGCCACTCCTCCAGGGATCTGCAGGGTGTTTGGGGAACTCAGATCCGCGCGACTCTGTCTGGGACTATTGTCTGCGCTGCTCACCATGTGGTTTGATGTGGCTGGGCGTCAGGTGGAAAACACCCAGAGCGCCAGCAGAGGCTGGAGGTGGGGCTCACCGAGCGCCCTGGCTGCGGCCCGCGCTGTCGGCCATGCACCGGCTGACCGCCCGGGCTTTCCCTCTGCCTGCTTTCACGCTGGCTGTGGATCCAGCCTCTGGGTGCCCCAGCTCTTGGGCACCTTCCCCAGAATAAGGTCTCGTCTCCCCAGGAGAGCGGAGGGAGGGCGTGCCCAGGGAGCAAGGGGCCACCGCAGCCTCGAGGGACCAGGCTCATCGCTGGGAAGGGCCCAGCTGGCGAGGGAGACAAACCTGGAAGGCAGATCGGCATCCCGGCCGCGGCCCCAACTGGCCGGCCCGGAGGGCTCTGCCTGAACAGCTGTGTCAGCCCAGCTCCACACACACAGAGGCGGAACCGCCCTCCCAAGAGACATGGGGCGGGGCTGAGCCCTCCTTCCTGGGCCCCAGGACTGGCGTCCTCAACACTCTCTCCAGTGATGTGGCGATGTCCCCATGGACCCTACGAAGGATGCGGGCGGGGGCATGGGGGGGCCCTCCTCAGGGGCCGGCTGGCATCCTCATCCATGACGCCCCAGCCCAGGGCGGCTACTCCACGGGCTTCCATTATCTGGACGTCAGAAGTGGGTTTGCATTGGTGAAATTAGTGGATCAGCGGAAAATAATCCACGGACAGGCAGCATAGTTATTAGAAACGGTTCTCACTGGAGAAGGCACACGGCACTGAAGGTGCGCAGACGGGCTCAAAGGAAGCTCACCCCACCTCCTCCACGCGGACAGATTCTAAGGAGCTAGTGAGGGAGGCATCCACCCTTGGTGACGGCTCCTGAGGTCTGATTCCTCAACAGCTCTGTGCACAGTCCAGTCCCCTCACGGGGGACTCTAGTTGCCCATCGCCCACTAAGAGGGCAGTGGCGTCTGCCCCCAGAACACTGCCCTTCCTGCCCGGCCAACCCAGGAGGCAAAGGGTCACTGGAGCATCTGGAAACACAAGAGCCCAGGTCCTCACTGAGCATAAAATACAGGAGGTCTGACTGTTTTATGTCTGCTTTTGGTGACTATTTGATTCATCCGTGTCTGCACACCCGGCAAACTCTGGGCATTATAACGCCTGTCGCATTATAACCAGGCAGGGAAGTTGCAGGGAGGCGGCTACCTTCATCCATCTCAGGGTTTTCAGTGGTAACACAAAGAATCTGCGGGCCGTGCGTGAGCAGCCTGGCTCACGGTGGTGGACACAGACACCCAGGTCCTCCAACGGGAGCTCAGCTCTGCAGCTGTAACAGCTACGTGACGTGGCCCAGGCACCGGGCGGACAGGGACGAGGCCGGAAAGGCACCGAGCAGGGGGCTCTGGGCAAGGGGGCCCCCTTTGAGTTTCAGCTTGCCGCCTGTCACGGAGTGAACTGTGTCCCCCAAAAGAGACGTTCAGGTCCTGGCCCCTGTGGAGGTGAGCTTATTTGGAAATAGGGTCTTTGCAGGTGAGATCACGTTAAGATGAGGTCATACTGGAGTAGGGTGGGCCCTAATCCACGGACAGGGGTCCTTATAAAAAGAAGAGGGAGCACACAGAGACACACAGAGCAGAAGGGCACGGGAAGACGGAAGCAGAGATTGGAGCGGCGAGTCTACAGCTGAGGGACGTCAGGGATGCTGACAGTCAGAAGCTGGTCGTCCCCACACCCTGATTTCCCACTTCGGCCTTCCAGAGCTGGGAGAGCACGGGTTTCTGCTGCTTTTAAGCCACCCAGTTGGTGACAGTTTTGAATGGCAGCCCTGGGAAACTAACACGCTATCCAAACGCTTGCTATCAGAACAGACAAACCCTTGCCACACTCCAAAGCCCGGATGCACCGGCCGCTTTCTCTCGGCACCTGGGAAGGGTCCCCTCAGCTCACGGAGCGTTCCCACCCCCATCACCCCACCTGCCCAGAGGCTGCCCGTGCTTCCGGATCTCAGAGGATGTGGAGAGGACCGTCGCTCTTACCTATAGCGGGCGACACACAAGTGGACCTTCCCCGAGTACCTCTGCTTGGCGGTACTGGAATTCCATTCATTATCCATCTATTGGAGACACAATGGACGTGCAGGTCACTGAAGCTGTAGGCGTCACATTTCATGCCGGAAGCACGCAGGAGATCCCTTCCACGGTCCCCCTGGGCTTTTCAGCCTCAGATGGTGGGACCCCCCTGTGAGATGCTGCCACACCCAGGTTCTTGGTCTTGGGTGTGACCCAGAGATGGGGGTGGGGTCCTTCCCTTCGGGCTTCTTGGTCTCACAGAGGACAGTTATAAAGAATTTGTCTCCCCCAATACTGTATGATATCACTTCTCTGTGGAGTCTAAAAAATAATACAAATGAAGGCATGTGCACCACAGAAACAGACTCACTGACATAGACGACAATTTTGTGGTGACCAGAATGGGGGAAGATTTAGGAGTATGGGATCAGCAGATACAAGCCACTATATATAAAACAGATAAGCAACAGCGTTTACTGTATAGCACAGGGAACTACAGCCATTGCCTTGTAATAACTTACAATGGAGTATAATCTGCAAAAATACTGAATCACTATGCTGACACTGACACAGTATTGTAAATCAACTATACTTCAATCAAAATTGATGAATTAATTAAAAGCTACTTTTAAAAAGACCTCATCTTCCCACACCCAGATTGGACTCAAGGTAAGGACCATCCCCCAACATAATTTAAGGCCTGAGATGTCACTGCCCCAGACCCTGCCAGGCTCCTCGGAGGACACATCTAGGTAATGCTTTGTGCCCTCAGCCCTCAAGGGCTCAGTGCAGGGAGGGGAGCACGCACGCGTGGATGGTGCCCGGTGCCCCCGGGAATCCTGATCAGAAAAAGGGACACGGGGGCTGCTTCCTCCCGATAACCCCCCGCCCCGCCCCGCTCCTCTCTGCTGCCCGAGTCTGCCGGGCACCGGGACGCTGCCTATAGGGGTTTCCTTACACTGGCTACAACTGTCTTGGGGTCGGGGGAGGGAGGAAAGGGCACCAGGGGAGGGTGGGAGTGACCATGAACCCCGCCCACCCCGGGAGAAGAAGGCCGGGTCCCTCCTGACACTCCCGCACCGGGGAGAGGGCTCTCCTGGGGGTCACAGCACGGCACTCCCCGTCTCAGGGCCTTCAGTGGTTCCCCCCTGGACTTGGACCAAAAGTCGAGAGCTTCCCTGAGGCCTCAAGCCCCCTCCCCAGCTCCCAGCTCCTCTCCAGCCCCAGCGGGCTTCCCCTGGGCTCCTTCTCACGGATAAACAGACCACGAGTGGCCAAGAAGGGCCGCCCTGTCCTTCACCCCGTCCCTCCGGGTCACCGGCTTGTTGGGTTCACGACATTCGCTGTTACCCAACTTTTAGGTGTTGACTTACTTATGGTCATTCAGCCCATGAGAGCAGGGACTCCCCCCACCCCCATCTGTAAAACTGGGGCCACACGTCCTGGCACATAGTAGGTGCTCAATGAATGGGGGTGAAGGCAAGGAAAAGGGGGGCTGGGGAGAGAGGGGAGGGCCGCCAACACCCACAGCCCGCATCACGCGCTGGGGCAGCTGCCTCAGCCAGCACAGGACTCACGTCGGCTTCAAATCTGCATCTTGGGCCACCAGGTCTCGACAGAAAGGGGGGCTTGATGGACAGAGGTTCTGGCTTGTCACCTGGGAGCGGGAGGGGCCGGATAGATTCACCGATCACAGTGCGGCTTCCAGCGGAGCTCTCCTGACCTGTACACCAACATCGGAGCAATTTGAGAGAAGACACGAAGGAAACAATCAAAGTGCACTGGTCACTTGCCTTCCCTGTGGGTCTTTCCCTGTCTTTGACTTTCATTTTGGGACCCACCCATCTCCCACTCTTAATCTACACCCCCGGCTCTGGGCTGTCCATCCGGCAGAGTCCACGCCTGGCTACACCAGTTGTTTGGTGGAGATGGTGGTGTTGCACATGAGATGGGAAGGTCCAATCAGAGAGAACTTCGTGGGAGTCATGGGCAAAGAGGCTCTCTTTTTCTCTGGCTTAAAATGGAGAGGAGATGAGACTCAGTGATACTGCAGCCACACTGCCACCAGGAGGAGGAAAGTCCATCTGAGAATGGAGACTGCTCATAGAAGGAGGAGCTGAGACGGAGAGGGAGGAACTGGACCCCAGTGGCATGGCTGGAGCCCCTGAATCCAGCTGTACCTGAGGCTAAACCCAGGCTCTTCACCTACTCTATGGGATAAACAAATTCCTTTTTGCTCGCACCAGTTTAGGCCGGCTTTGCTGTCACTTATGACTGAAAGAGACCTGACTTATACACAAAGTGGCCAAATGGTCAGGTTTATGGCTAAAAATTATTCTTGAGACTCACTAGGACCAGAGCAGATCTGCCCACCCTGTCCTCATGGGGCTGCTGAGCCCCAGCCCAGTGACATGTGGCAGGACGGGGAGAACTGAGCACCTTGACCAGTGCTGGCCCGGACTGTCGGGTTAAGTCAGGCGTGTTTCCTTAGGACCGGATGTGAATTACAGAAGCAACCATTTCCCTTCCCCACGTTCTCACTGCCTGGTGGCCTGCGGATGCTCCTTTCTGGCTCTGTCTAGTCTCTGGCTGGCTGTGGCTCTCCCATCACAGGGACAGCTCCACTGAGGAAGATGACGCGCTGAGCCCAAACCAGGAAAAACATACAGGGTGAGAGGTGCTCCCACAAAGGCTGTGTAGAAGTCACCCCCAGAGAACCCCCACTCCCCTAGCTGATTAAGAGAACTGAGAACCTTGGGGGACCATCACTGCAACAAAGAATTGATGCTGCAGTGGACCCGGGGTCCCTGCTAGGAGGCCATATCTCAGAGCGCAGCGGCCTGGCTCTGGTCACTGCCCAGGACCCCTCATGACCACAGCAGCCAGTGCTTGGCATAGAGCAGGTGCAAAGTCAATATTTACTGAATTAACTGACTCCCTCAGAAAGCTGGCGGAGGGTGTGGCCTGGCTGCAGCGTGCTTCAGTGCTGCAGGGGAGGTGTTTCACCCCGACACAGGACTCGCCCAGGCCAACGAACTGTGAGTGGAAGAGACGTGTCCTGCTTTGGGGCAGAAGCCTTTTTGAGCCAGTGTCTAATTTGTTATGCTTCCTTTCCCTTGCGATGGAACATTCCAGATGGGAAAGGTTCAGCATTCCCCAGTGAAGAGAGTGTGGAACCCACTCCCTGAGCCAACCTGAGATGGATGTGCAGTGTGATCGAGAACAAGACTTGTTCTCTTTCAAGCCCCTGAGATTTGGGGATGTTTGTTACTGCAGCTGAACCTAGCCCATCTTGACTGATACACTGCTGCCGGGAATAGCAGGGGGTGACACCACCAGCAAAGGTGAAATGAGTATAGTAGAGTCATCTCATATTCACATTTTAACTTAAACAAATCCAGTTGTCTAGACAAAAATATTTTGTTGCATGTGGCATTTTACCTGCCCTTCTGCTCTCTGAGTGGATGTGAGATTAGAGACAAAATCATGCAGTGCCCTCAGCGGCACACCCCTTCATGCTCCGCGTGTTTCAAGATATGCATTTTCTGGAAAATATGGCCACTAAGGTCAAATCAATGACTTTATCCAGTGTTTCACCAAAACCCAGCTCCAATACTGGAAGGAAACTGGCTGTGTAGGGGCAGCCCTGGGAGATGACATGCCCCCTTCCTAGGAGATTTCTGGGGATGATTCTGTCCCTGTGTGATTTCTGCCTCGCTGGTTGCAGATGTGACTACTGCACAGAAGGCGAGTCCCTTAGGGACTCACGGTCAAGCGGTCCTTGTCTTCCTCAGCCTCAGGCAGGAGGCCCCCAGGGGATGCACGGCACACCTGCCGGGTCCTGCTCTGACCCTGCACTGGCCCTGCTTGCTCCTCTGCCCGCCCCCACCCTCCCCTCCTGCGTAAGGAGGAGAGGCCAGCCCAGCGGCGAGTTCCCTGTCACTCTCACCCTTAAAGAGGCCCCTGCCCTCTGCCGTCAAGGAATGACTTTGAGGGGGGCTTCAGGCCTACCAGGCACTCCTCCCACGACCAAGTGATGCTAGCACAGCAAGGATGCGGCAAGGAGGACGCCAAGCCTGCCTGGCTTTGCCAGCAGGGGGCCCCCGTGGGCGAGGTAGCGTTTATCAAATGAGCCGGTCTGTTATCACGATGGCTCTTCCACGGGGCTGAACGGAAGCCTCGGTGCAAACCTATTCTTCTGCCGGGATCGGAGACAGCGTCCTGTTTGGGTTTTGTTGGTTTTGTTCTCAGCATCCATCTTCCTCCGTCGTGAATTAGATCCTTTTTTCCAGATCATCGCAACACCGACTGAACCAGGTCAATCACTGCTCTCCTCCCCACCCCCACTGACCCACGAGCTCGCCCTGGACTAACACATTCTCACGCTGTGCTGCAAGGAATCCGCGTAGGCGGCCCCTGGCTGCCACTTTTAGAAGGGCCCGCTTGCAAGCTGGGCTGGGCTGTATCCGGGAACACAGCTTCTAAAGAGTTCCTGCACCAATAGGAAAGGCTCCCTAAGTGACGGGGTGCTTCCCTGTAACCAGCCTGTTTGCGCCGCCTGGTGTGTGCCGGGCGCCTGCCTCGCTCTGGGGGGCCTGGGGTTCCGGTGTGTGCCGGGCAGAGGTGCCCACGTGACCAGCCCCCAGTGCACCCTGGAGGCTGCATCTCTACTGGGCGTCCCTGGGCCTCACCACCGCACGGGGTGATGCTCGTGGGGCGCTCTGGGTGGTCCTCCCAGAGGAAAAAGGTACCGACTGTCTGCACGTGGATCCCCCCGGACGCCCGTCTCTGCGGGCCCACCGTGTGTCTGTCCTGTGCCGCCGGAACAGTTCTGAGCCAGGAGGACACAATGTTATGCTGAGTCCCGGGACTTACCGACTGCTTGCGACCCGGGGACCCTGAAAAACGTGCATGGCCGAGATCACGTGAACCGGCAGCCCCAAAGCTTCTCACCCCGTGGGAGCTGGAGAAACGGTCTTCTTTCTGGGAGGCAACCTTCTCTGACCACCCCGTCTAAGTGGCCCTGGGTCACTTGCTCTCTTGTCACCTGACCTCCCGCGTCTGTCTGAGTGGGAAGCTGCCCAGTCACTCATCTGTCCCCTTGTTTCTTGTCTGTGCTCCCCCCACCCAGAGGGGCTCCACCCAGGGCCTGGCCATCTACTCAGCATCGCGGCCTGGGGGGGTACCCTGTGCTCAGAACTTGTCTGTTGGGTGGGGGTGTCCCGACCCCCCTCTCCTCCTGTCTTGTGTTTCGTGGCCACTTAGCATTCTCCTAACGCATGAGCAGCGCAGGAAGGGAGCAGGAAGCCAGGAAACATGATTTATCAAGACACAGGCAGCATCACCTTGTTTTCAAAATGAAAAGCGTCCAGAGAACTTACCCTACGTTCTGACAAGACCCAGGAGAGATGTGGGAATTCTCTCTCTTTTATGGAATTCCAGAGTGAATATCTGACACTCGTCTCCAGTAAACTTGAAAACATCGACTGTTTTACAGGAGGATAAAACTGGGCCTGCGACCCATTCCACCTTCAGTGGAGAGAAAGTTCCCTGACTGAGCAGGGTATTCTGTTGCCTACACTGGGAACCTTCCATGACGTTACATTCAATGCCTCTGGGATCAACATTCCCCTCAACCAGGCAAATTCAAACCTCCCTGCCCCCCACCTCTGCATCCTACACACAAATGTGATGGGAGGGCATTGAAATGCACCGCTGTTAGTACCGCGGCCTTTGTCAGAAGGGAAGTTCCAAGTACATCACAATGTCAACAAGAGGCCACTGGATGAAAAGAGGGGAAACGAGGGAAGCTGAGAAGCCCACCTGGCAGATCCCAGCGTAGACCCCAGAGCCAGACCCCTGGGGCCGAGCCCCGGCTCACCGCCCGGCTGGGCGACCCACTAAGCCCCTCCACCCGCGTTGTCTGTAGAACGGGGCTCAGAAGGTGTGCGGAGCCACGCTGGTCGGCACCGTCAAGGGCTGAGGACGAGGTCTGGCGCGTGGGGTGGACGTGGGAGACGCCGGCTGGCCTGTACCGCCCCAAGGCCTGCTAGGCTGGTCACCGCCCCAGGTGTGGTGAGATGCTCTGTCACACACCTCCACCCCCGACCCTTGCCAGCGCCCCTTCTCCATCCCGGCTGCCGTGCGAGGGAGGGAGGGAGGGAGAGAGGGAGGTCGGTCGGTCCAGGCGCTTACCTTTGCCAATGGAGGGAGCCAGTCCGTTCATGAAGCTCCGGAAGGGCTTGCCGGGGGACGAGGGGACGTCCAGGGAGCTGCCTCCCTGCAGGTCGATCTCGCCCGCGTGCTCCCGGAGCCGACCCAGGTCCCGGGACAGCAGGCTGAACTGCTCACTCTGCGCGCGGCATTTCTCCTCTAGCTCCCGTGCCCTGCGCTGCGCGCGGAGACCCGGACCCGCGGTCAGCAGGCGGCCTGGCCTGCTGGGGCCCCGCGTGTCTGCGCACAGGTGTGCGTCTGTGCGTGTGTGTGCACGCGTGTGCACAAGAATGCATGCCACGTGTGCATGGGGGGATGACAGTGCGTGTGCGTGTGTACTGTGTGCATGTGTGTTGCATGGGTGTGCACAGGACTGAGTGCCGTGTGTGCATGTGTTAATGACAGAGTGTGTGTGTGTGTGTGTGTGTGTGTGTGTGTGTGTGTGTGTGTGTGTGTGTGTGTGTGTGCAGGAGGGCTGCCTCTTTCCTCCACACGAGAACGGTGTCTGAACAAACTAAGCTTCCTGTGCACCCTGGCCGTCGGCCAGGTTTCCTCTCAGGGCGAACGTGGGAAAGCACAGGAGCCGAGAAACCTTGCAAACACTCAGATCCCAGCAGCCAACTGCGGGTTGTTCCGGGCTCTGTGTACAGCCCAGGCACTTTGCGGTTGGCACGCCTCACTGTAGCTGCTTGAAATTTGGAGCGTGAGGCGGTGACACAGCCCAGCTTTGCGGACAGCTCAGTTGCTAACCCCTGGATGCAGTTTTCTTGTAAGCTGCAGAACCCCAAAGTACCCCGCTTTGGCATTAAAGGGAAGTGCTGTTTGCTGGACTGGCTTAGCAACATCGCTGCCATTTGCAGACATCGGAGACATCTCGGGAGCACCAGGGAGCTGGGAGCGTCCCCTGGGCACACGCGGCAGGGAAGGGTGCCCTGGGCAGCTCCCCCCATTAACCCCCAGGGAGCTGGGAGTGTCCCCTGGGCACACGCGGCAGGGAAGGGTGCCCTGGGCAGCTCCCCCCATTAACCCTCATCTCTGCCTGCTCTGGGTTCTCAGCTGGGCAGGCGTGACCCAGCCACTCTCCTCTCCCTGGGGAACCATGGTGCACACTCCCTACACCTCCTCCCCTGGCGCCCTTTCTCCTGCTGTCAGAACTCCCTGCCCTGGGCCACCGGAGGAGGGGCACAGGGAGGGTCCGCTCTGTCCCCTCCCCTGCAAGCTCCCTTCCTGGCACATTCCAGTAGCTCCCTGATTACTTCTCATCTGCCTCCGTGACTAGATCATTTATGCGCCAAGCTCGTGCTTTCTGGTTCCCTGAGACACCCACGACGCGCTGCATAGCACTGGCACGCGGCAGGTGCTCTGTAACTGTTTGCTGAAGCAGAGAAGAGGGGACCCCCTGACTTGCAGGCATCACGTTCCTAGAGGCAGCAGCTTCTTTCATCTGCATGGAGGTCCTGCCTTGTCTCCCTTCCTCAGTCTGTGGTAAGTGGAAAATCCCATCTGCTGTATTATTAACCGTGGGCACCGTCTGGCTTCCTCCACTAAAATGTCAACTCCACGAGGGCAGGAATTTTTGTCCGCTTCTCTACCGCTGTGTCCCCAGCACTCCGACTAGAGCTTGGTACCAAGTCGGGGCTTGAGAGATGTTTGGTCTCATGGCGGTGTGCACGCAGGGATGCAGGACAGTGGTAGACCGATGCTCTCTTCCTCTTCCCGTCCCCCCCTCTTCCCTGTCCCTCCTCCACTGGTGTTAAGCTTTTCAGCTCCTTAGGCCAGAATGAAGTGCTGTTTATGTCTGAGATCATGGAATTCTAAAAATAGATCTAACAAATCCCAAACCAATAATTAATTTCTTCGATGCATTTAACAAAATCAGCAGGTTTCTTCTCTTAAAAGGCTGAATGAGCTTGGCTACGATTGCTGTCACCACCGAGGAAGGCACAGAAGTGACGCCGGGCGCCCCTGGGCACAGGTGGGGACGTGGCGAGATCCGCCTCCCGCCCGGGCACCCCCCATCGGGGAGACGCGGCACCCGCCCAGGAGCAGCGGTGACCCCAGGATGGCGGCATCAGATGCCTCAAGGCCGAGGGTTCTGGCTCTCCCTGCTCAGCCCTGAAGACGAAATGTTTGCTCCAGGGCTGAGCGACAGGTCCTCAGGCAGGGAACAGTCGCCAACAACCCAGCCTCAGGCAGGAAGGGCATCAGAAGAGCCCTGAGCTCACCCGTTCATCCAGGTGTGCCGTCAGGTGCCCTGGTGGCGTGTGTGGGAGGGTGTCAGGTGAACGTGGAAGAACACAAATGCCACTTAGATGGCCACATCCTCATTGTAATGTGCACAAGAAAAAGACAACTGGTAATCAGGTCCTTCATGTCACGCGGTGTGTGAAAAGTGAACCAACCCAAAAAGCAGATAGATTTTTCATTGATGTAACATTCGTGAAATGACGAGACTAAAGCAGTGGAGAGCTGATCAATGGTTGTCAGGGTCTGGGGTTGGGGGGAAGGTCCGAGTACTAGGAATTAAGATGAGGGCATGTCTTTGGGGGTGGAGCCATCTGTATTCCCGGTTGCGGTTCATGAATCTATATGTACCATCAGATTCCACAGAACTAAGCGCCAAAGGAAGGGCAAAGAGTGAGTCTCTGTGGTTTGGTTACTGATAACTGTGCCTGCGTCAGCTTCCTGGTTTCAACAATGTACTCTGGTCACCTACGACGCTGTCCTTGGGGAGGTGGGTGAAGGTACACAGCGACCATCTGTGCTTTCGTAACTTCTCGGGAGTCTCAAAATTATTTCAAAATAGAGAGTTCTAGAAAGTGAATGGATTTAAAGAAAATACGAAATAATCATGGAGAAAATCTCAAAGGCGGTACATGAAAAGCTGGCGTTGTGGGAACATCAGATCAGGAGCCTTGAGCGTTAGAGCGGCCGAGGTCTCAGGAGCCCACGTGGAGGTCGGGCATCCGAGGCGCCTGGAAACAGGCCCCTGGCGGGAGCCCTTGATTTACTGGGGCCGGGCGCGGGCGGCACAGAGAGGAAGGAGGGCAGGCTGTGTGCTCCCAGCAGGCCCTGTGGGACTCAGACCAAAGCAGAGAGAAAGGTCGGGGCTCACGCAGGGGTGCTGAACCGCTGCACGTTTTAGGTGCCACAGTGAACTCCATCTCCTGGGCACCACTGCCGGCCCGCCAGGACCCCAGCTCTTGGAGCGCCTCCTTCCAGGGAACGTTTCTTTGTTCAGGGTCCCCTTCACTGATGGGGACTGTGGCAGGCGGTTCTCCCCGGCAGCTGGCACAGGACGTGCCTGTAGAAAGGGGACCGGCTCTGACGTGAGTGATGAGGGGAGGGTCCTGGAAGCAGGTGGATCGGAGCTGACGTCAAACCATCTTTAAATTGAACATCCCCGGAGGTGGTGGGAGATGCCCATGAGAGGAGGAGCGAGGCAAACCCCCAGGATCTTGGGGACCAGGGGGCTGGTGGAGGAGGCTCCTAAGGGGCAGGGAAGAGGGATGTGCCTTCTCGTCAACAAGCGTTTCGTAATACACGTCTGCACACGTGCGACAACTGGGCTTGAGACTTGCTTCCATTGTGACCCGGGAGCGAAGGTGCAGGGCTAAGCCTCTCCCACCTGGCATTTCTACCCCAAAGATTCTAAGAGTCCTGCGTGATCACACCTAATTCTTTGCCCCTCTCTTATCAATTCCTTGCTTTGTTTCTCCTCTGGGTATCCGAGGACACGGCTTCAAGACAGCAGGAGGACGACTCCCCAAAGTCAGGCAGCTTCCAGATGCCTCTTCTCACTAATTTCAGGGGGGAAACGGTCTGAACAACTAGGAGATGAGGCGTAGGGACCCGTTAAACCGGAAGAACATCCCACAGGTGAGCGCTCCCTCTGGAAAGGTCACCAAGCTTCCCTGCTGTTGCCCCCTTCCAGGAAGGAAGCAGGTGTCCCTTCCAGAGCCTCCACGGACACCCTCTCCGGGCCTGGCTGCAGCTGGCGGCGGCTGGGTCTCTGATGCTGAGCCCGGCCGCTGGGGCTAAGTGCCTCCGATGGTCCCCAAGCTGCTACCAGAAGGAACTGCTTCCAAGTGATGCAGAAAGCAAACAGCAAGCCCGCTGTTGGGTCCGGCCGGCTTACTGGGGTGTCAAGATTGATTTCAGGATTCAGGGCACCATCAGCTCCTGGCTGGGTGGCGACACCGGTGGGGCAGAACCACGCCCGCTTGAATTAACCAGTCTGCTTGAGTGTCGCCATCCCGGTTTGTCCCGGCCCCGCTTCTCCTCACCCTAACCCGCCACCTGAGCATCAAGAGCGGAGGGCGGCTGCATTCTGACCGCAGCGGGGACAGACGGCACCGTCATCCGGCAAGTAAACTCCAACTGGAATCAACAGCAGAGACTTGCAGATGTGGCGGCGGGTATGTATAAGGACGAAGGAAAACACATTCAAAGATGCACCTGCCAGCATTCCCAAGGTCCTCCGCTCTGTATGTTTCATCTGTTTTTGTTTTGCGGTACGCGGGCCTCTCACTGCTGTGGCCTCTCCCGTTGCGGAGCACAGGCTCCGGACGCGCAGGCTCAGCGGCCATGGCTCACGGGCCCAGCCGCTCCGTGGCACATGGGATCTTCCCGGACCGGGGCACGAACCCGCGTCCCCTGCATCGGCAGGCGGACCCTCAACCACTGCGCCACCAGGGAAGCCCTGTATGTTTCATCTGACTTCCAGGCTTCATAAAGGGGAGCAGATGAGTAGGGCACTGTGCCCTGTAGTTAGTGTCCAAACCAGGACAATTTTGAGGGTCCAGGGATGCTGTGAACGCTCACGCTAGCACAGCCAAGCCAGGCGCGTCCTAGGCAGCGCAGGAGGGATTTGGGAGTAAGTTGTTCTGTGCGGCATCTTTAGGGGTAAACAACATTCGTGGTGCTATTTATTGCTTAGTGAGTACCTACTGTGTGCCAGGGCCTGCCAGGGGCTCTCTATGCACGAGTGCTGATGGCCAGAGAGACTCCCTGGGGTAAGTTGGTGTGAGCCCGTTGCATGGCTGAGGAAGACCAGGCCAGATGGACTAAAGACCAAGGTCACACGCCCAGTAAGTGGCAGGACACACCCAATCCTCTCTGACTCCAGGCTCTGGGCTGTGTCTAGATCCCAGACCCCCCCACTCTCTCACTCACTCA